AGACTCAAAAAGAGGAAAATACACAAATATGAAAAAGGAACATCACAAAACTGAAACTATAAAAGAAATGTATTGAATGGAAGCTATACCATTATAGACTTAAATTTCTTCCATCATTTTTATTCATAAATATTATTTTTAATTACCCCCTACTTCCTTCTGTCTCACTCCCTATTATCTTCTTTGGATTGTAGACTCAGATGCCATTGGTTAATACATATGTTACATTTTAGACTGAAGCCCATGAATTTTTGTTCCATTTGTTCTATTCTGGCTACTTATATATGTTAATAATTACTAGTACAAGGGAAGATTTAATGGGCAGCTGCAATAATAAAAGACTAGCAAATTGGCATTTCTTGCAGTCCAGTTGCTAGTAACATAAGAGCATGGTCCAGTTCACTGTCCACCTGCCAGGCCCCCATAATGAGGCTGTAACTTAAATAATAAAGAAAGGGGACATAGTGTCCCCCCAACTCCCCACATGTGCACCGGGTGTGGGCTCTAATAATATTAATAATAATTTTCCCCCACCTATTGGGGTTGGGCGGTGTTTCTAAAAATATTTATAATCCAGGAAGGAGATTTAATGTCTCACAGTCTCCACTCTAATTAATTAATGGCCTCTAGCCATCTTGGGGAAACATTAGTGCCAATTTGGTGTGATTGGACAATGGTATGTCCACCTCCCTGTATATTAACCTCCCTGACGGTCTGATTATGTCAGTATTTTTTAATGTTAAAGCGGTACATTGTTTTTACAATGTATTGTGTTTATTTTTTTACACCAGAGGCTCGTAGGAACATGGTAAGTGATACTACAGTGTAATCCCAAGCGTGGTTCGGGGGTTACCGCTTTTGGTACCAAAAATGAACCAGGAGCCACGCTCGGGATTACCGCCAGGTAGGTTAAATTATAACCCCCACCTGCAGGTAATTGGTAATCAGGGGGACTTTAGGTAGCCTCTGGTTAATAAATATTATTAGAGCCATAATGTACCATGTACCTTATTCTCCCCCCAGCCCCTCCATGTGTCTCATTCCACCCCCCAGACCATCCATGTGACTCATTCTCCCCCTCAGGCCCTTCATGTGTTTATTTTATCTCCGGCTTCTCCATTTTTCTCATTCCCCCAGCCTCTTATTGTGTCTCATTCTCTCTCAGCCACTCCTTGTGTCTCATTCCACCCCAGTCTCTCCATGTGCCTTATTCCGCCCCAGCCCCTCTATGTGTCTCTCCCCACTCCATTCCATGTGCCTCATTACCACCCTCAGCACCTCCATGTGTCTCATTCCCCGTCACCCCCACAATATGTCTCAGTTCCCACCTCCAGCCCCTCCTGGTGTCTCATTCCTCCAGCCCTTCCTTTTGTCTTATTCAAACCCCACAGCCCCTCCAGGTGTCTCTCTCTTCAGGCCCTCCACGTGCCTCATTCCACCCCACAGCCCCTCCATATGTCTCATTCCCTCTATCCCCTTCTTGTGTCTCATTCAACTCCCACAGCCCCTCCATGTGTCTCCCTCCTCAGCCCTTCCACGTGTCTCATTCCACCCAATGTATCTCCTCCTCGTATCTCCTTCCATCCTTGTATCTCTTTCAAGTCTCCTGCCGCTCTATGTCTGCCTCTTCAGCCCCTCCATGTTTCTCATTTCCCTTTCCTTGCCCCTCCCCCTCCCCCCTCTCCTCCTGAGCCTGCTGACCCTCTTAAGACGAGAGGAACGCAGTGGAGGATCTTTCAGTTTTCCTTCAGTTTTCTCTAACCGCTCTGAAAGGGAGCTGTTTGAGCTCTTTGTGTCAGTCTGGGTGTAGGATACAGGGCCGGATTAACATAGGGGCTGATGGAGCTGCAGTTCCAGACCCAGGCCCATGAAATAAGCCCATTTAAAAAAAAAAAAAAATACACACTACTCTTAGGTTTGCCACCTGACTGGTATTTTAATGGCACATACGTTATTTGAGGGTGCCTGGCCGTGCTGGTATTGCAGTAATACCGGCAATACAAATGCACTGTGTGTGGAGAGAGGCAGAGATAGGAAGTTACAGAATATCCCTGCCTCTCTCTACTACTCACTCATCCACAGGGGAGCAGCTACACAGCACAGAGAGTCCAGACAGCAGCTCTACAGCTCAGGTAAGTGATGGATGGGGTAAAGGCAGCAGGGACACATGGGGACACTGAGACACTAGGGGACACAGATACTAGGGGACACATGATGACACATACACTAGGGGACACTGAGACACTAGGACACAGACACTGGGAGACCTGGGAACACTGAGACACTTGGGGACACTGGAAAACATGGGGACACAGACACTTGGGGACACATGGGGACACACACTAGGGGACACTGAGACACTAGAACACATGGGGACACAGACACTGGGAGACCTGGGGACACTGAGACACTTGGGGACACTGGAAAACATGGGGACACTGAGACACTGGGACACATGGGGATGCTGAGACACATGGGGACGCTGTGAGACATAGGGACATTGGGAGACATTGGGACACGGAGACACCATGTCCCCCTGCCAGTGTCCCTAGTGTCTCAGTGTCCCCAAGTCTCCCAGTGTCTGTGTCCCATGTCTCTCAGTGTGCCTAGTGTCCCCATGTATCCCCATGTCTATGTCCACAACTGTCCCCATGTCTCCCCAAGTGTCTGTCTCCCAGCCAGTGTCCCCTAGTCTCCCAGTATCCCCTAGTCTCACAGTTTCCCCTATTCTCCCAGTGTCTGTGTCCCTAGTGTCTTAGTGTCCACAAATGTTTCAGTGTCTCCATGTCTCCCAGTGTCTGTGTTCCTAGTGTCTCAGTGTGCCTGGTGTCCCCATGTCTCCCAGTGTCCCTATATGTCCCAGTGTCCACATGTCTATGTCCACAACTGTCCCCATGTCTCCCAGTGTCTCCAAGTGTCTGTCTCCTAGCCAGTGTCCCCTAGTCTCCCATGTCTGTGTCCCTAGTGTCTGAGTGTCCCCAAATGTTTCAGTGTCTGTGTCCCTAGTGTCTGTGTCCCCATTTCTCCCAGTTTCCCTAAATGTCTCAGTGTCCCCATGTCTCCCAGTGTCCCCATGTCTCTGTGTCCCCGGGTCTCTCAGTGTCCCCATGTCTCTCAGTGTCCCCAGTATCCTATTGACATGGGGACACACTGAGACATTGGGACACTGGGAGAAATGGGGACACAGACACTGGGAGACTAGGGGACTGGGTGACATGGGGACACTGATACTGTGCTACATAGGGACACTGAGACCCTGGGTGACTTGCAAGACTGAGACACTGGGAGACCGGGAGACACTGGGAGCAATCCATCTATACAGCAGACTCAAACTGTGAGTAGCTTGTTGGTGATTTTACAGAATTTTCTCTGATGTCACTCCTTGTGATTTACATCATGTGATGTCACGCAAAACTAATTAATTATACAAATGATTAAGGCTGGTATTTTTTTCAAAGAAAGGTGGCAAACTTAACTACTCTTCACATACTCTTGCTTAAAGGAGCACTATAGGGTCAGGAACACAATCATGTATTTCTGACCCTATTATGTTAAAACCACCACCCTGGCCCCTTCTTGCCTCCCTAAATATAGTAAAATATTAGTTGTATTCAATTCTGCAGGTGCTGGCTCAGAAGTGGTGGTCTGAGCAAATTACAATACTTCCCCATAGGATTGGCTGAGACTGTCAACTAGGCAGATCAGGGGCAGAGCCAGCACAAGTCCATCATAGCCCTGGCCAATCAGCATCTCCTCATAAAGATAAATTGAATCAATGCATCTCTATGAGGAAAGTTCAGTGTCTGCATGCAAAGGGTGGAGACACTGAATGGCAGTGCTGCACACTAGGCAGTACTGCCCCAGGAAGCACCTCTAGCAGCCATCTAAGGAGCGGCCAGTGGAGTTATTTTCTCTGAAAATACAGTGTTTACTGCAAAAAGCCTGAATGGAATGATTCTACTTACCAGAATAAATACAATAAGCTGTAGTTGTTTTGGTGACTATAGTGTCCCTTTAAGTTTGGAAGCTTATGAGGGATGTATGGGAACAAAACTTGTGTGCACTGGCTAACATTAAAGGACCACTCTAGGCACCCAGACCACTTCAGCTTAATGAAGTGGTCTGGGTGCCAGGTCCAGCTAGGATTAACCCATTTTTTTTTTTAATAAACATAGCAGTTTCAGAGAAACTGCTATGTTTATGTTAGGGTTAATCCAGCCTCCAAATCCTTAGGGTTAGGGTTAATCCAGCCTCCAAATGCTCTAGTGTTTTCCTGGCACTATTGTGGTCCTTTAAAGCGGGATCTAAGGATTTTACATTCGTTGTAGAAGGTTTGATCAACTATTTTATTTCGGTATAAACACTTACTTTCTTCAGTTGTTGATGGATTCCGATTTACAATAATACCTCTGCTATTTGGAATTGCTGATTGCAGAATGAATATGTGTAAATGAATTTACTAATATCTGGACACAATATCAACATTTTAATAGACTCCCAACACTCTTTTGAACATTTTTGGCCACCGTACCTTTGCACTATAGTGCCAGGAAAACGAGTATATTTTCCTGGCACTATAGTGGTCCTTTAAAGTTAGTTTAGGTAATGCAGACGTTGGTCTCTCTAACACTGTGGCATGTCCCCTTTCTTCTACACTCACTACAGACACCTTTTCTCTGTCTCAGACTATATACCAGGAACTTCTGCCTGCTAGTAAGAAGGTAAGGAAACAAGTGGACCTGCGAGTGCTATGGGACAGTCCTTAGAAAGAATGGAGTGAGCACATCATTAGACGCATTTATGTCAAGCTCAAGGTGCTGCCTGCATAGTATGCCCTTAGTTGGACAGCCTGCAGGATTGGCAGGCAGCCTGACATGCATTCATGCCAGGCTGACCTTCCAATTCTTTGGACAAACATGCCCCGTTTTTGGGCATGTTCACCCCTTTTGGCAGGTCTTGTCACGTGATTCGCTCCAGTGGCACACCCTTTTACCCTGCCCATTGACTTTCTGCTTCACTGGACACTGCTATTAGGGGTTATGGATTTACTTGAAAGATGAAAGCATAAATTAGAGAGAGATTAGCATAGAGTATATGTTTTCTTATAGCTGCATCCTATGAGTTTTCCTCCAGCACCATCTCCATCAGATACATGACGCTTGGGAGGTATGATTGTTTTAGTGTTTTTGGTCGATAAGATTCCGTAATTAGACCCATCATAATTGTCAGCACCAGGCCCACTGGGCTCTTAATCCGGCCCTGAGGATACAGCTCCTCTACCTACAGTCCACTCAGCTATGCTCAGATCCCCTAACTTATAGTTATTAAAATAATGTAATTATACATAAATAATACAAAAAGCCTATAGTTGTGGGAGGGACTTCATCACTTCTGGTACCTAGATTTGTGGTCTTTTTAAACCGAGAGTTTCCTGTGGTTTGCTGTTAATGCAAAATCCATTCTCCAGCATTAGGCCTTCTCTGCATTTGCAAAACTGAAGGCCTGGAGTTGCTCTCTTCACATAGCTGGCCTGAAGTTCAACTTCTTTTGTTGAAATTCGATGGCGTTTGAACTGCATTCAAAGTTTAAATTCCATGCAGAACTTTTTTGTTTGTTTTAATCAGAACTTGTTCGGTCAGAAGTTATAACATCAACTGAATTACAGGAAAAAAGCTTTCCAGAGGGAGAAAGTCAGCATTAATTGACATGTTTAACCCCTTAAGGACACATGACATGTGTGACATGTCATGATTCCCTTTTATTCCAGAAGTTTGGTCCTTAAGGGGTTAAAGATTTTGGATTGCCTGTCACTAATGAGGTCTACACATATGTTTATGGCATGTTGTTAGACATTTTTCTACAATAAATTATGCACTTTCCATGATCTACCTTGTGGATTATCCTGAGATCCTTATTAGTGCAGACTGTTTAGCTTGTCTTGTTTTGTCAGAACTTGTACAATTGTCTCTGTCCTTAAGGATTTACGGATATTAAGACAAATAACTACATTAAGGAAGTAGATTTAAATTAACATTTTAAGAGCAGCCATCAATTACCAAAGCTAAAATGCCCTTTAAAATGAACTATGGAGGATAAGAAAACATAATATGGACAAAGGAAGTTTACAAAAATCAGGCTCAGCTAATAAAATAACAAATTGAGAAAAATAACTATGAAATTGAGACCTTTCTCTTTTACTGAAAAGCAAAGTTAAAACAGAAAATATTTAGAAATAAATAAAACTAAAACAAAAAAGGATAGAAAGTTAACAAAAATCCTACCAGAAAATCTTATTTTATAGTAATTTTTGGAGGTACATCTATTACCAAGAAAAAAAATAATAACAAAGAGCTTCATAAAAAGTATGGGTACTTACTACTATTTCTGACAGTAAGGAAATAATAATTTTAGGTGTAGCTTTGGATTTGTACTTTTATGACGCTTTCTAAGGGACTGAACATGCTACCATTTTCTCCTGTGTGCTACAACATTTTTAAAGTTTGCTCCACTATCCATGACCACATCTGCTTTTTGAAGTGTTCACGGAGGTATGAAACTGCTTGAAATGTGACTTTTGTGCCAGAGGCTAGTTGCACCAAACGTTTCTTAGACAGCACATTAACTGTTCCTGGCTAACTGATGGTAATTATGTGCAAATATTACACCTGTAGTCAGCATGTGCTGCATGCTGGCAACTGATTTAATCACCTTCTTCACTTGCACGCAGTGCTGGTGACATAGCTGCAATATCAAACCCACTCTCCATACTGCCCTCCATTCCACTTCACATTATTTTATAAATGTAGCCCTCCCTCCAATTCCCTTCATTTGCATTTGTTCCTTGAGTCCTCTTTCTGTGCTGCTTTCCCTTTGTGCAGCTCCCACTTACAAAGTCACTCACTCATTCGCAAACCATAAACAGTGACAGAAACGGAGGAAGCATGGAATTCATCATGGACAACATGACACCATGCTGGATTGAAGGTAAGTTTTTAACTATTTTCACAGGTTTTTATTCAATAAAATGTAGAGGGGACTAAGTGACAAATACCAAAGACGGCATTATAAACCCCCCCAAAAAATGACAAAAAAGGGGGTAAACCTGTAAAGCGCAAGAAGAAATTAAGTAGCTTTTCTACTACATTAGAACATGTTGGTGCTGACGCATTATTACGTTCATTATTAGCAAGGTGGCTCTATATCTATGCCTCCTATTAGTTCACCATAATCAATCATGACAAGAAGAAAAAGAAAAAACAAAATATACATATATAGAGACGTTTCCAAACATTCAATAAAAATACAAAGAAATAATATATACTGAATCTAAAACGCATTTGATATTTTGACTAAAATGCAAATTTTTAAAGGAACATATTTCACAGTTTATCAGACATCCATAGAAAATCTCTCTCCCTTACCATTATAATCCATATTGCCATATATATTTTCCATTTCTTTCTGCATTTCAGCTCGTCTACTTCTGCACAATCTTTCTTTTCTTCTCTGTGTTTCCTTTTTTGTGCCTGACTCTGTCTGTCTCAACTCTGTCAGGTTTTATAGTAATTCTTGACCATCAGCATTCTAAGCATTTTTGTAACATGCTTCCTTATCTGCGCAAGCTTCCTCTAATTCTAGAGCAGTGGATTAAGCATTGGAGAAAGTGTAAGTACTGGGTTATGGGAGTATATACCTGAACTGTCATCTGGAAATAATGGTCACCATCTAAATTTGAGCTGGAGGATGGTCAATACTAACAATATCTCTTTACTGAAAATGGAAACTCTTAAACCTAAAGACACACTATGGTGTTACTATCGGCAGAGAAACCACAACCAAGATGATGGTTAGAATCAGAAGTAATCTGGTCAAGTGAAGAAAGATGCATTAACCTTGACTGAGTCATACAGTTCTTGGAATCACAACCAATAATACACATGATCTGAAACTGCAGAAGTGTGATATACTATGCCACAATATAAAGAAATATAAAGAAACATGAACTGAAGTATCGATTAGCACGGTAATGAGGAACCTGCTCTGTTCATGTTACTAACTGGCACAGGATTCAAATTCTAACTACCCTTAAAGGAGCACAATCACATTCCCAGGCTTTCGGAATGTACAATTTGTTAATATACTATTAGGGAAACTAATGTTTTTAACCCCTTAAGGACACATGACATGTGTGACATGTCAAGATTCCCTTTTATTACAGAAGTTTGGTCCTTAAGGGGTTAAAGTATTTTAGTAAAGCACCCTGCTATCTGAAAGTGAATAAAATATGTCATAGCTAATTGGCTTATCCTCCCAACACAGCTGCACCAGGGAGGAATTCACTTGTCCTAGTCGATGATCCCCTGTTGTGATTCTTCCTTTTAAATATGTGTGCTTGCTAACAATAAAGTGTGTGTGTTTTAAACTTCACCAAATGTCAACAATTTGGGGGATCTACCTCCCTGACAACACAGATCAGAGGCAAAAAGAAAGTCCGATATCAAACTTTCAAGCCCTTCATTGAGGCAGAGGTGGATATTGACGTGTTCCTGCAGGACTATGAGCAACCCTTGTCTGGTAAGCTGTCTGAACCTGCCACTGAGGCTTACAGAACCATCCCTGACATTGATTTACATATTTACATCCGAGTCAAAGAAATACTCCTAGCCTGCTATGCCATCACTCCAGAGGCATATCGCTGATGGTTTAGAGATTTGAAAAAAGGAGATAATGACTTGTATGCAGAATTGACCTATAAATTGCACTGAGCTGTGGTAAACTGGATACAGGGGTGTGGGGCCACCACAATGGATAATGTGTTACAGCTCCCCTTATTAGAACAGTTTTACACCCTGTTCCAAATTATTATGCAAATTATATTTTTCTCATTTACCTAAATAATTGATGTAAATAACATTCAGCATAATTCTCATGTTATCAACTATTAAGAGTACAATTCAGATTTTATTGAACAAACCTCCTAATGATAACAGTATTTAGTATTTTAGTATTTTTTAAACATAAAAAACTTACAATGCACTGTTCCAAATTATTACGCACAGTAAGTTTCAAAACACTTTGTAGGTTGTAAAGTACTGAAAATTGCCATTTGTTGTGTTTGCAGCATATTTACTGAAATCAAAAGCTATTTCAATCAAACTTATAACAACATTTTAACTTTTTAAACACAGGTCACGTTACATTTTAACATAGGACTGTTTATTTGATAGCAGCTTCACAAGTCTTGCATCCATTGAACTTGTGAGTTTTTGGACAGTTTCTGCTTAAATTTGTTTGCAAGATGTCAGAATAGCCTCCCAGAGCTGCTGTTTGGATGTAAACTGCCTCCCACCCTCATAGATCTTTTGCTTGAGGATGCTCCAAAGGTTCTCAATAGGATTGAGGTCAGGGGAGTATGGAGGCCACACCATGACTTTCTCTCCTTTTATCCCCATAGCAGCCATTGATGCAGATGTGTTCTTTGCAGCATGAGATGGTGTATTGTCATGCATGAAGATGATTTTATTACGGAAAGCATAGTTCTTCCTTCTGTACCAGGGAAGAAAGTGGTCAGTCAGAAACTCCACATACTTTGCAGAGGTCATCTTTACACCTTCGGGGACCCTAAAGGGGCCGACCAACTCTCTTCCCATGATTCCGGCCCAAAACATGACTCCACCACCGCTTTGCTGGCGTTGCAGCCTTGTTGGAACAGGGTGGCCGTCCACCAACCATCCACTACTCCATCCATCTGGACCATTCAGGTTTGCACGGCACTCATCAGTGAACAGGACTGTTTGAAAATTAGTGTCGGGATCCTATCCTGACAACCAAGGTATTGTTTTATTTTATTGCTGCAATACCTGTTTCTTGCCTCTAGTGGCCCCCCTAGCTACTAGTCAATCCTCAGTTACTCTCACCTGCCTCATATGATTGAGCAAGGGGTCCACGTCTGGATTATCCCTTTAAACTTGTGGAGAGTCAAAAATGGGTTGCAAGAGAATACTGAGAATGGCCAGCAGCTGAAATAGCCTGCCCTTCGGTCGGTCCCCGCTCAGTTCTCAAGCTGATTTCTGCTCATCTTGTGCCATTACAGAGAGAACATATCTGAAGCATATCAGACTGGTCCCACCCATACGGGCAGTCCAGATCCGAAATGCCAGCAAGTTCTCTCTGCACGAGAGATACAGCAACCCCAGACGATCGTTTCAGCCTTGTTAGGCATCATCAGT